TTGGGCCATTTGAGGTGGTTAGGGTTGGTTTGGGGTGAGGGGGAGGGTTGTGGGTTAAATAGGAAAAGCCCAAAACAAAAAAAAAAATATAACCGAGGCCCGGCCCGGCCTGGACCCGGGGGTTACCCGGGCCGGTTCCGGGCCTCCCATACCTTGAACCGAGGCCCGGCCGGTTCAAGTCCCGAACCGGGCCCGGCCTGAACAGAGTCCATCCCTACTCCAAACGGTCCCGCATATCATTTTTCTTTTTTTTTCCTAAAACTTTTCCCTTTTTATTTTTATCGTCTTGACTCTTTTATTCTCGTTTTTTGTCTTCTTCCTAAAACTACTCCAAATAATATAGTCCTATTTGTGCATTAGGGATTAATTTAGCCCTATTTTGGGACTATTTTCTCAAATATATACTAGTGGTAGAATAAAGGTAAGAAAAGGAAAAAGGAAATAAATAAGTGTAAGTAAAAAGAAAATAAAGTAAAAAGTTAGTACGGTGAGAAAAAGATCTTTTATAAGGAAAGTAATCCGAAAATATATATATAAATGAAAATGAAATAATAAACGGGAAGAAGAAAAAGAAGGAAAAATGGAATACACAAACATTGAAAAAAAAATAAAAAATAAAAAGTAATAAAAATAAAAATAAGAAGACAAAAGGGGGGAATAAAAGAGTCAAGACGATAAAAATAAAAAAGGAAAAGTTTTAGGAAGAAAAAAGAAAAATGGCATGTGGGACCGCTTGGTGAAGATTTATGAAAGGTGGGATTTATGGTTGAATGATTTGCAAAGAAAATGAAAAAATCTTGAATAGTAGGTCATCAACGGGTCAGGGAACAACGAATGAAGATGAGGTGCAAATGTTGGATTATTCATGAATAACGATAAAGTGGGACCAACGAATGAATACCGCTAAAAGGTTGGATTATTAATTTCCATTTTCCCTAAATTATATTATATTATATACAAGTTTTATGATGCTAGTGTGTCATTAATTTGTATGACATATTTGTATTTCAGAATTTATTGTTAAAAAATAAATCATAATATTTTACAACACTGTAATGTCATGATTTTACCGACACATTTTAGTGACTCATATCAAGTTTCACAATTTTCGACCTACTTTGACTTATGTCAAGTGTCACAGAATCTTTTAGTGACACTTATTTAAAGTCACTATAGACCAGTTTTCTAGTAGTGATCGTCTTTTTCAACAATTATGCTTTTCTTTTTTATTGTTTCAAAATTACACATTTTTATCAATACCAATATGATATAATTAATACAAGTTTGTAAACTTAAAACTAGAAAGATGTGAAAAATATAAAATATAAATATAATTTTCTTTTTAATTTTTGCTAATTCATCCATTGAAAGAATAATTGTGAGAAAAGTTGAACTTTGAGTCCTTTTGTAATAAAAATGAAAGTATGGGATATATTTGTGAGTTTGATGATAGTTGGAGATATATTTAACTAATAATCCTTTTGTAAACAATAAAATTTAATTTCTAGTCATAATCAAATATAATATGCACCAACTATATAACTAACAACCTAACACCATCCATAAATACTCTGTATTACGATATTAAAAGACTTCTCGTGACTTACAAACACGTACACATAGTAAAGGAAAAAGTTTAATCTATGAATTAGATTCTTTATTTTAATAATAAGATTCGTTCATTTAGTTGAATAACACAAAAGCCATTTAGAAAATGTAGCCATATGTGTATTTGTTAGACCCTTACACTTTAATTTACCAATACTTTTTTATTATCAAATAATTTCATTTTGATTTGACGTTACTAAGACTTTAATTTATCAATACTTTTGTTTTAAAGGACCTTAATTATGAAATCTAAGCTGTTTTCTCCTTATGTAGATTAACATCAGAGTGTGATACATTTAATTTAAATGTAGTGGATGTATATGCTCATAAAAGTATTATTTTGAATAAAAAAAAATAGGTAGAAGAGTCCTATATTAGCCAAAATTTTCGCTCCCCCTTTACAACAAATCACAAATACATCCCCGATCTAGGGATGTCAAAAAAACCCGACCCGCAATGACCCGCTCTGGCCCGAGACATTTGAGGCGGGTCCGTCCCGCCCCGTCTTGCAAATGGGCGGGTCCGCCCCGCCCCGCCTATACAATGGGGCGGGTTCGAGTATTAGAATTGACCCGTGCCGCCCCGACCCGCCCCGACCCGACCCGCTGAATATATAAGTATACATACTTTTTCTTAAATTATAGTACTACAAATATACTTCAACATACATATGTCTATATACAATAAATCATAAATTCTTTGATCTTATAATATATGAATACGGAGTATATATTATAATGAGATGCACGACGGATTATCAATGTCTTCTTTATATATAGAATTTTAATACATATATTCAATTATTAATATAACTAATAAGATTAACTATTCAAGTTTGAGTAATTTTTCCTTAATTTTTGAAAGTTTTAGCGTATCATGAATTTGATTTAATATATTGATTTTTAATTATTATTTAGAGATAAACATTATGTAGATTCAATTGGTAACAACTTCCCACAAAAAATACATACTAGCTAATTAGGTTACGGTGGGGCGGGGCGGACCCGCCCCGCCCCGCATGGGTCGGGTCATGGGTCAACAAATTTGGACCCGTGCAGGTCACGGGGCGGGGCGGACCCGCCCTGCCAAGTCACAGGGCGGGTCCGGGTCTTGCAATACCCGCCCCGCCCCGACCCATTGCCATGCCTACCCCGATCCTAACATAGCACTACTAATTTGGAATTTTCCCGATAGCAGTCCTACTTAATTCTACCATTCTACTTAGTTTAAGTGGCGGAACCAGAAAAATGGCTCGGGGTCGAAACTCAACCTATATACAGAGCGAAAATGGTGGATCGTTTTTAAACATTATATTGTTCAAGTTGAATATTTCATATGCAGTTTAGATATATATATATATATATATATATATATATATATATATATATATATATATATATGCACTTGTAACAATAAGACAGATTGTTTTTGCTCTATTTCTGAGTCGTGTCACGTAAGTATTGATTGAATTATATTCTTTTTAAAATTTGGGAAAATAATCTATAGCATGCATCAAATTTTGCTGATTTCACGTTTAGATAGTGTTGATTTTTCGGAAGTCATAACTTTTTACTCGTAATGAGTTACGGGGGCCATAATATATCAAATCGGAGAAATTTTTGATCTCTATACTCTCAAACTTTCAGAGGGATCGGATGACCACCCCGACCCCCGGCCCTTGACTCCGCCCCTGCGTAGTTTCATTAGCGGATCTATGGGAGGGGGTCAACTTAGACCCTGGTCTAAAAAATGCTTTAAATTTTAAGGTAAAATATTTTATGTGTAATTTTTTTCTTCAAAAAATATTTCTTGTATACCACGATCCCGTCATTCCGCCCCTGATAGTTTATTAGTGTAATTAAAAAGAATATAGCAATCATTGGAATGTTAAGAAAAGGCAGTGCTTATATGGTACATCCGGGTGTACGTACACCCGGCCCAACCAAGGTAGACAGCCCAATAACCAATACAGATCAAAAATAATTCGGTGGCATTTTTGTAATTTAAGCGAAAAATTACGTCTTCCACTAAATGAGCAATATTGTACTTTTATTGAGCATCAGACATGTTTTATTGAGTATTTAAGAGACTAACAATGATATCACGATCCATGCTTCAATTCAAAAAATGAGCATAACATTAGTACCAAATGAGCATACATAACTTACGAAATGAGTATCAAAAAATTTAAAAACGCAATTTTGTGTGCTCATTCATTTTGGACGTTATACTCATTGAATTTAACATAAAACTTATTTTTAATGTGAACTCTTGAATATAAGTATGTGGATGATGGATGAGAGGTAGCACTTTGTGGTTTAATTGAAACTCTTGAATATAAGTATGTGGAAAATAAGTATGTGGATGATGGATGAGAGGTAGCACTTTATGGTTAAAAATATAGCTTCTGACAGATTGCAGAGGATTATCCGTAGGGTGGGTTCTGTGATGATTTTGTATTCAACGAAGATATCTTCTACATATAAGCAAACTGATTGGTAGCAGCACCAAACGGCAAGGAGATCGAAGTTCAGCCTACCAATCACCAATCTCCATCGCTCCTGAAGTCGGTGCTGGTGTGCAGCCCGCCCAACGAGTTTAATTCCAAAAATACTCGGATGTACGGTGAGGACCGTACATCCGGATGTACGGTGAGGACCGTACATCCGGATGTACGGTGAGGACCGTACATCCGGATGTACGATATAATTTGCGAAGAAAAGGATGACACCCCATCCCTGAGGGTCCCCTAACCTCGACCGGATGGTACGTTAGAAGGATGTAAATTGGACTATAATCTCAATCTGACAGATAGAGAGTGAAGCTCTGTCCCCGGTACTTGCAGAGACCCTATGCATTTTTAGCATAATAACCCCCCATCGCAGTTGTCGAGATTCGAACCTGGGACCTAACCCTTGTGGCACTCCCTTCTTCCAGTTGAGCTAAGCCCACCCGTATCATTGGAATGTTAAGAAGCTAGCTAGGTAGGGGTGAATATTGGACGTAACCTTTTCCCGGAAACCATTGGCGGCCTATACATCTTACCAGTCTAGAGTACGTCTAGACTTGGAATCAACGGCGTACTGCATTTATGTTATTTGTTGCACAGATTTGTTTTGGAGCTTTTGAATTACAATTGTCGTGTCCATATCGCAAGAAGTAACATAACACAAAAATATTGGGAAAATTACTTCAATAGGAGTAAAACAATGCATTTGTGCATAAATAGGAGTCCAAGTTTCGTTAGTCACGCATAGGAGTAAAAAGTGTATGAGTGGACAACAATACCCTTAATGAAAATGAAAAATCTAATTGTTTTATTAATTAATAATACAACACAAAATAAAACCATACATAGACAACAAAAGACTCGGAAGATGCAATGGTACAGCCCTAGGTTGTTTGGTCACAACTCTGGTCTGCCAGAGTTCCTCCCAAATTTAATTTTTTTATTTGGCAGGTTTTGGATGGGACGATCCCTACGGTGGATAAATTGCACCAGAGAGGTATAGTTATACCGAACAGGTGTAAACTATGTGATAATCCGGCGGAATCCCTAGAGCATGTTTTTCGGAGCTGCAATTGGACTCGACCGGTTTGGCAAGAAGCTGGCATAAATGCTGAGGAGGACAGGCCGGAAGAGGACTTGGCTGAGGAGGGGTATCGAATTAGGAGATGAGGGGAGGAAGGGTAAATTCATGGCAATTCTCTGGAGCCTTTGGAAAAGGAGAAACAATGCGGTATGGAAGGATCAAAAGCAGGACACCACTAGTGTTATCAATGGAGCCGCAGGTACGCTAGCAAGCTGGAAGGAGGCTCAAGAGTAGGGAGGTCAAAGGGAATTCAACAAAATAAGGAGAAGGAAAAATGGAGGAGACCGAGAAAAGATTATATAAAAATTAATGTTGATGGTGCGGTTAATGATACGGGGGGCGTAAGAGCATGAGGCTGGGTGGCAAGGGATGACGAAGGAAATTTTCTGAAAGCTCAAGGGGGGTCGGCAGCGATTAATTGGACAGTGGCAGAGACAGAAGCTTATGGGCTGCAAGAGGCTATTAAGGGAGCTATCCGGGAAAGATGAGATCCGGTTGAGTTCAAGTCACATGCCTTGTCGGTGGTCAAGAATATAAAATCAGGGGAAGGGTACTCGTACTTACAAATTATTATTGAGATATTAGAGAGGTGTTAGAAATTAAGAGTAATTTTTTTCTCTCTTATTGTAATAGATATGCGAATAGCGTAGCTAATACAATATCAAGAAAACAAGTAAATCTCCCAGATCAGTATAGTACCTTTGATGTAGCACAAGGTTGTATTGCTAGCCTTTTGTCTAAGGATTGTCGGGAGTAATAAGAATGTTTGGAGTTTGATTAACCAAAAAAATCTTTCACCCTCTTATTTAAATGCAACATCTAACCACCTTCACAATTTTCCTGTACTACATAAGATCTTATCGACGACTGCACACTCACAATTTGATCTAACTTTCTTACTTGAAGCTGGACACCACCTTCGTCTCCAGTTGAAAGGTATTATCTTTTTTTTTTGTGCATGAATCTGTCATTTGCTTCAACGTTATGTTTCTTTTTGAAGCTTTACTGAATTACTGGAATGGGGATGGCGATTTAGGCAATTCTTGGATCTTCATATATTCTTCTCCTATCGCTTTCTAGATTATTTCCGTAATAGGACTTTTCCCCTCTGGACCATGACATGAGATCTGGAGTGAAGTTCACTCTTAGACTCTTCATTCATTACATCCCCAAAACGAGCACTTTTCTAAAATTGGAGGCATAATTTCCATCAAACTGTATATAAGAACAAAAGTTACAAATCCATTTATATATAATGGGTTTATGTGTTTTTATTCTCTATATGTATGTTTGTGTAATACACACACATGTAGAACATTTTTACTAAATGTTTTTCTAATAAATATAAAATATACTTTTTTACATCCTTCTCGGACACTTGTGATTGGTAGCTTACCTAATACTTTTATGTACTATATTGCATTAAAAAAGCATTGGTAATCTTTAATGTTGATATTGGAGACGCCTGACATGAATATTGCACAAAATTGTTTCGAAAATGAAAAAAGAGAAACCATTGATGATCCAAAAATGGAAGGAGGTGAGAAGTCCCAATCTGTTCTACTAAAATGTCAAACACGATTCATTCGAATAAAACATGATCGTGGAAAGAGGAATCAGAGGAACTTATGTTTCAATTCAGGGATAGTTTCCATGCTCAACAATCTTTGTTTAATTTTCAGTCAAATTGATGGAATTACTTTTGAAAAAAAAATATTAATGTCCTACAACCTCATATACTCTCACATCTTATAACTTCAAGAAACAATTTGAGCTCATACGATAGACATCCTTGAGTATGTATAAACGTTATTTTTGAAACCAATTATACATTCTGGTAACACAAAATTAGTTTTGACTTGTTTATTTAAAGGACTATTATCCTTGATGTCTTTTCTACTTTTCCTCTCTTTTTGCTTTTATCGTTTATGTTCTTTATATTTTTATATTCTTATGTTATTTTTATCTTCTAGCTTTTTTATTCTCTTTTATTTTTTATCTTTTATCTTTCTTATATTCTTGTGTTATTGTTATCTTATATTTATTTTATCTTTATTTTATTCGTTTTGTCTTATTTTTTTCCCCTTGTCCGTCTTCTCTGTTTGGCATCGACATCATAAATCGATTCATGTTAGCCGACCCCAAATTATTTTGGGATTAAGGCTTGGATGTTGTTGTTGTTGAATCGTTGTCAGCTTTTAGACTATGAGTCCCAATGTCCCATTCTATTATTCATGAACTATGGGTTTTTATAAATAGAGTGTTAGAAATCCATTCAAAGGTTGTAGACTTGTAGTATATATTATGTATGAAAATAAAATATCAACCTTTGAATGGATTTCTTTCAGAGCCACAATCAGAAATGGTATTTTAGGAGTTTAATACCATTGTTGAGTCTAAAAAAATTGTAGTAACTAAGTGTACTCACTGAGTTATTGCTGGCTCCAAAATATTGATACATTTGTTATCCCAAATCAATATTTATAGTTGACATGCATAAACACGAAATTCCAAAATCTTGGATCTACAACTCCTAAATTGGGGCTTTTGACCTGACCATGGATTTGCCTTACATGTATTTTTTGAATGAACAACATCAATCAAACGCTTAAGTTGTACACTTTTATGAACTAATATGGAATTGATAAATGTGATGTATGGAAATCTAACCCTTCCATTGTCAAACACTATATCAAGTGTCATCTTTCTTCGCATGCATTGGTACATATTCGCTCAAATCTTTTAACCCCATGAACCTTAAACTATATAAGAATTAAGAATGTATATATAACTTTGTATTGCCATTCGAATTTGCATTGATACCATATTGTGATTCTAATGTAGAACATGTGGGTGAGTTAAGTGATGTTACGCTTCAATGTGTATTCATTTTTTCATCTTTTCTTGCGTTGATGATGATTTTGATTTTAATTAACAATCATTTTTTATCAATAATTTTCTAGTTGTTCTATTGGTTAGTATTTGACTAAACACGTCTCAAAGTCCAACAGTGAATACTGCAACAATCAAGTCATTGTTGATCTGGGCAGTAAGCTCATAGTTATGAGACCATTTCAGTATTTGTAAGAACTGAAGAGAGGGGTGAAGCTTTTGTTGGTACAGTACTAAAGCTAATTAAAAGATGAGAGTGAGATCAGATGGATTGCAGAGAAAGCGGTTGCTAACTTCTGTAGCTGTTATTGGAATCTTCCTTGTTTTTCTTTATGTGGTATTTGGCTCTAAGAGCAGTGGTGAGTCTGCTCTAGAGTACGGAAGCTGGTCTTTGAGGAAACTAGGGTCTTCTTACTTGGGTGGAGATGATGAAGGTGATACTACTAAGCAAGATGGAAAAATTGGACTGAATGATGGCAATGATGGCATTTTTCTGAAGAGCTTTCCTGTAAGTCATCTAAGAAGTGTCATATAAACAATATCACGTCTCTTGTTTTGTGACAAACATTTTGATGCTTGATGCATTTTATCTTTTTGGGATTTTAAGGTTTGTGATGATCGGCATTCAGAACTAATACCCTGTCTAGACAGACATCTCATATACCAAATGCGATTAAAGTTGGACTTATCCTTGATGGAACACTATGAAAGACATTGTCCCTTGCAAGAAAGGCGGTACAATTGCATGATTCCTCCTCCCCCCGGATACAAGGTTAGACAGGATATGCTAACGTGGTAGCAAAAGGGTCTTGGGTTCTTCTCATTTCAGAATTCTCGTAAATATCTTGTGTAAATAAGCCATCTTTTTTATCATTTGGGAAAATAATAGATACCTATTAAGTGGCCTAAAAGTAGAGATGAGGTGTGGAAAGCAAACATACCTCATACCCACCTTGCTCAAGAGAAATCAGACCAGAACTGGATGGTTGTCAAGGGTGAAAGGATTATATTTCCAGGAGGAGGCACTCATTTCCACTACGGAGCTGACAAATACATTGCTTCAATTGCTAACGTAAGAGATTTCAATCCTTTCTTTTAGGAAAGCATCCATTGAAAGCAAATTAAACATGTACAAATGTTCACAGCTTTTTATGCGGTGTCTGAATTTACAGATGTTGAATTTTTCAAAAAATATCTTGAACAATGAGGGAAATGTACGCACAGTTTTTGATGTCGGTTGTGGTGTTGCGAGCTTTGGAGGCTATCTTCTTTCATCTGATATAATAGCAATGTCCTTGGCACCAAATGATGTACATCAGAATCAGATCCAGTTTGCCTTGGAAAGAGGAATTCCAGCATCTCTCGGTGTTCTTGGAACAAAGAGACTTCCTTATCCAAGCCGTTCATTTGAGTTTGCTCATTGTTCACGTTGTAGGATTGATTGGTTGCAAAGGGATGGGATTCTTCTTCTCGAGTTAGACAGAGTTCTTAGACCAGGAGGCTATTTTGCCTACTCCTCTCCGGAGGCATACGCACAGGATGAAGATGATCTTAGAATATGGAGACAAATGAGTGCACTTGTAGAACGCATGTGTTGGAAGATAGCTGCCAAGAGGAACCAAACTGTCATTTGGGTTAAGCCTCTAAATAATGACTGTTACAAAGAAAGAGAACCAAACACCAGGCCACCTCTATGTCGCCCTGATGATGATCCTGATGCAGTGTGGGGGGTTCCAATGGAGGCATGCATAACACCTTATTCTGATCGTAAGTATATCTGCATTTGACATTATTGTGGAGAATGATCATCTTTTGCATTTAATAAAGAAGTCTGTTATTAACATTTATAAGCTTGGGCATCCCTTTAACTAGATGGAAAGAGCTATTCTGATGCTCACCTGTATCTTATTCTTGTAGTGATTCAAGTGGTTTCCTCTTTGACTTGTTTTTTTGTTTAATATTCATTCTTATTGTAACTGGATCAGACTATGCAATATCATGAAAAAGCTGGCTAGATGTTATATTAGACAAATAGACAAGATTTTAAACATTTAGAAACCAGACGTGAAAGAGGACACATCACCATATCAGACCAGAACATAAAATTCATAAAAGATTTAAAAAAAAATCAAATGAGATCAGATCTCTTATGACAAATTTGTCCCGTTTTTACTCATTTGTTTGATTGCATCCATATTGATTGATTGTTGATTCCTTGATGGCATTTCCAATTTTTTTACCAACTCATGGAGTCATGGTCAAGCCTCTCCCCTCCCCCTGTTTTTTTCTGTTTTGCTTGGTGGTGTGCATTTACTCCAATGTGTTTTCGTAGAGACCTATATGTAATATTAGTGAAATGAGATGTACCTATTTTAAGTGTTTATTTTCCGTTTTTACACCAGATGACCACAAAACCAAGGGAAGTGGATTGGCACCTTGGCCAGCTCGATTAACCACACCTCCTCCCCGGCTTGCTGATTTTGGGTATTCAAACGAAATGTTTGAAAAGGATACGGTAATATTCTTACCTATAACAGTGTAATTCTGACCGACTGCTCATATACATGTCCAATTACAAGAAAGAACATTGAGTTGTGGCCTTCTTCGAAACAGAAACTGTGGCAGCGGAGAGTTGATGGTTACTTGAGGATTCTGAGTCCCAGAATTTCATCAGACACTGTTAGGAATATTATGGACATGAAGGCAAACATGGGTTCGTTTGCAGCTGCTCTCAAGGACAAGGATGTATGGGTAATGAATGCTGTATCTGAAGATGGACCCAACACACTCAAGATTGTATATGATCGAGGCCTCATTGGCACAATCCACAACTGGTATGTATGGTGATAAAAATATTTTTATAATCATTTTCCCTCCTCATATTTCTAACACTAACAATTTTGCTCTTTGGGTTTTGCACTTTTGCCTTTTGGTTTTGATGGCTAACTAAATCTTGGCCAAAGTTTTGATCAGTGAACGGCTCATGGGAGAGTCTTTAGCATTTTCAGTCCAAATTATAGCTAATTTTAGTGTTTGTTATAGAACCTGTAAGAGGAGTACAAAGGACAGTTTTGAAAGAGAGCTTTTTGGAATAATGGATTGAATAGTTATTAAGTAAAAAGTAAAGAGAAAAGTGGCTCTCCAATCTCTCTCTCTTCTATTAAATCTATTTTTCAAATAAAAAGATAAAAAATGAATAATACTCCGTAGCAGTTAGGACATTTTTACTTGGACTGTAATTTCTCCCAGACTAGACCAGACCAGACTTGGATAGTTATAAAAATACAAAGAAACCAGACCAGACCAGCAAATTACAGTCCAACTAAAAACATCCTTACTATACGCCTATACAGAGTGTTGGATATGAAAATTTAAAAAAACAAATATTTCTTTATGAATTTAAAAATATTTGAAAGGAAATCTGATTCTCATCGTTTGTTGAAATATAGTAATGTGAAACACTGTGTAGTATACTACGTTTTATACTACGTACATTTATACCTGAGGAAAAAAATGGAGATACAAACAAATAATAATACTATAATAATAACAAAACTGTATCTTTATTATTATGTATCATTTGACACATTCTAATAACTAATCACTACCCCTACCAAATCTCTCTTCCGTAAAACGTAACTGCATAAAAACCGCTAACATGAACCGGTAAAAACTAATCTAAACAGCTAATTGCTGCCAAGCCAGACCTAGACATGTCCTGGTTAATGTTCAATAAGGTTAAGATTTTTTGTTCGTTGTCCCTTTGCCATGCTTGCAGGTGCGAAGCCTTTTCAACGTATCCTAGGACGTATGATTTGCTGCATGCTTGGACCATAATTTCTGACATTGAGAAGAAAGGTTGTAGCTGTGAGGATCTGTTGCTTGAGATGGATCGTATCTTGAGGCCTACCGGCTTTATTATCATCCGGGATAAACAACATGTTATTGACTTTGTGAAGAGGTATATGCAAGCATTGCACTGGGAAGCTGTTGGAACTGGCAGTGATTCAACATCAGACCAGGATCAGGAGGGAGATGATGCTGTAGTGTTTGTCATTCAAAAGAAACTATGGCTTACTAGTGAAAGCATTAGAACTACAGACTAGTAGAAACATAAATACTTCTCAAGTCCTTCCCCAAGTACACCCTTTCACTTTTTCAAATCCTTCACTCCACTCCTTGCACTAAAAAAAGCTTCATATAGGCACCCTTTTACTATTTCAAAGTAAGTGTGTTCACATGATACATTTTTTAGTACAAGGGCTGGAGTAAAGCAGTGTGCCTGGACACCATGAGATATCAGCTGTCCTTTGCTCCCTACGTTGCTTATTTCTCCACTCATTTTTTTATAACTCGGGTTCTATTTTGCTACATGTTTTGACTTTGTGCTTTACTTGAATTTATACAGACAAGTTGATTTTCTTTATAAATGATTTGTGTGAGTTGGATAGGGGCTGGTTCTGGGGTTCCCAAAAATAAAACCTTAACCGGAACCAGTACTACTGGGTCCAGTTCTGGGTAGTTCCAGATTGAAAAAACTGAGTTAAAAAAAAATAACAGAACCGCGACTTGAACTTCTCTGGTCATTTTATCAGTGTAGGCCCATAGGACAACCGATTTCTATTTATAAATCTTGGCTGTAAGTTGTGTTGATGACTAACAGTTGTATGGGGAGACACCATGGAAGTGTACATAAGGATCTTGAGTATGGTTAACTCAACAGCAATAACAATAAGTAATCACTACTACAATACGGAGTATTATTCAAAATGTTGTTGTAATAGTTTTCCTTGCGGATTATTATAAATATAGACAATGCACTTCATTGAGCACCTTTGTGCAGAATTGGTACAGATTCACTTGATTTACCACCCCATCAGCCATCAAAAGGGCTCTAACGAGGTCATTAACATGGATCAAAATGCCTTTTAAATCGTATTATTATAGCAAAGACGAGATGCTGAATTTGAACTGATGAAAGCTGATTATAAAAGCCAATGCAGGCAGAGTCACTGTCTTGACTCTTGAGTCTTGACCAATGGAACATGATGCGTTTGAAGTATGTTTACCAATGGAACACAATCATCAAGCATAAGAGTTTAGTTTTGACAAGCAAGGGACTAGTCAAAAAATATGCTCACCAAGTTCCTCTGTGAGTAAGAACTACAGACAGACACAAATGAATATTGTTAAAAGAATCACTTTAACCTTAATCTTTTTTTTTGACTTATTTAACAAGTCCAGGAAGATGATCTCTTCATTACAGGCTTCATTTGCTTGTCCTCTTCCAAGGATATCATCCCCAAATGTGAAGGATCTTCTAGCATCATCTTCGCCACCAGATACCCAGCGATTGACCATGTCTGCTGCTTCCTGGCCTGTTTGCCGACAAATCTTCCAACCTTTCCATCATAATATTCGGGCCACCCATCCTTCAGCAAGCGGCTCTCTGCTCGATCAATTGCCCTTTTCGCAATTTGTGGCCGTCCAGTCTTGATGCACGCCGCAGTCAACATCCACAACAGCACTGCACATGTTCATGTTAATTGGTCATCGTTTGAACCAATTCTTGTTTCAGAAGTTTGTTGAAAAGTAGTTAAAAAAATAGTTTTATTTGGATGTACCAAAGAATTGGCTTTTACAAGTCACAAGTGTATGAAAATAAGTGAAAGAACAACTTCAGTTGTTGAAAAATTAGCATATCATTATATGAAAAAAGTAATTTTCAGATTCACGAAAATAGTTTTTTTTTTGTTTAAATAAGCTGATTGTGATTTAAACACATAACTTGTTTTGAAAATAACATGTATGGCTTTGTTTGGCATAACAAGTTGATGCGTTCATTAGTACTCACAATTTATAGCTTATAAGGTTAAACTGATAATTTAGTTGATATCATAATCTAAAAGACAGCTTATATCTAGTTTCTAAGAGGTCTCAACATGCTCTAAAGGGTTTGTTTGGTAATGTTTCCTGTTTTTATGTTTCTAAACATTGCAGTTATTGTTTCCCCGAATTCCTAAATATAAAACATCGATGATGAGTCTGTATTGTACATATGATTTTGGTGTAAAATTTGTTTTTAGAGCTTCGATAGAAATTCAGGTGGTCAGATTGTACCCGAACTTCAGGTTGTCAGATATGTTCCTTTTCATCCAAAACCATTACAGAGCTGATGGGGAAACCCTCCAAAACTTCTGCAAATGGTTCCAACCTACATAAATATTATGTACTTTACTACATATGCTTAGTTTCACTCGTTGGGGCAAATAATCAACTATTCTCGATTGACTTTTTGTACTTTAGCTATATGGTTTGGTTTCAATAAAAAATGGTACTCACGTGTAAAGTGCGAATGACTACACTTATTGTCATGAATTGTTCATAATTGCCTTTAAACGATGTTCTTTTTTAAATGACGGTTTTTTCACTTGATTACAAATATGCCACCCGTTTTTCACCAAATTTATTACATCGTTGACATATTTAGATCCATTAGATCATAAATCTGATTTATGCAATAAATTTATTCTTACTTTTGATGGAAAGGATAAGTTCGTATTTGAACAAAAGCCTATATATAATTATTGGTTAATTAAAATAAAATAGTATCACACATATTAATTAATAATCTTATCTGAATTGAATGGACACGGATATGATTGGAAAGTACACAAAAGTTGTTGGGTTAATTGGCCCGATAACAGGAACGACCCAATAACCCCTCAGAAAGAGAACCACCAAGGCCCACTTGTGGCACGATCTAGCAACAAGATCGAGAGGATGCTCGACTTGTCAGTGGGAGATCCAAGGAGCTCCACGAGCAACCGTGACTCCATGCAAGCGACCAACCGCCTCATGCCCCTTCAATAGAGCACTCAACTCCTCTACAACTAAAATAAATAAATATGGGGATAAAGGGTCACCCTGTCCCAGTCTTCGAGTAGGAGTAATGGGTCTTAGCTCAGTATCATCAAAAGGAATAGAATAAGAAACCGATGACACACACTCCATAATCAAACGAACCCATCGATCATTAAACCCCATGTGATGAAGCATGCCCTTCAAAAAAGACCACTCAACCGTGTCATACGCCTTGCTCATATCAGATTGTAGACTGACAAATCATGTGTGCCCTTGATTTTTCGTTTCAAATAATGTTGAGACTCAAAAGCAATCATGATATTATCAATAATGGATCTACCCAGAATAAATGCACTCCGTTGCTCATAAATATTCAAATGCAGAACCTCTTTCAATCTATTGGCCAGGACCTTGGAGAAAATTTTATAGAGAACACGCAAAGAGCTATACGTCTCTAATCTCCAATAACCTCCACATTTTCCTTTCTATGAATTAAAACTAAATTTGTATGATTAATCTTATCCGGGAGCTTACCTGATTGGAAAACCTATAGGCAAAACCTCATCACATACGGACCCATCACATCCCAATAGTGCTGAAAAAACCCTGAACTCAATCCATCTGCGTCAGGGGATTTATCCGGAAGCATGTCAAAAACCGTCACCTTAACCTCTTCTCCTCGGATGGGTTTTAAAAAGCACTATTATATGATGCTTCCAACTTCCTAGACACACAATGGAGCACAAAGTTACATGCACTCTGCACAGAGGAAAAAATATCAATGAAATAAATGCCTATTAGTCGGTCGATCTCCTCTCTGTCAGTCTCCCTGCCGCCTCCATCCAATCTAAACCCCTTAATCATGTTCTTCATACATCGTTGTTTCACAGAATTTTGAAAAAGTCGGGTATTAAGATCACCTCACTTGAACCAATACTTCTTTGCCCTCTGTTTCCAGAATAAAATCTCC